TCCATATACTGAACCCAGTCCGACAAACTTGACAAGAAGTCAAGCTCTGTATTGTAGAAAACATCCGCCACTTGCGGATAGCATAACCGAAATACCTATACAGCTAGATAAAGTAAGGAGATTGCAACAAAAGCATATGTATGCGTGAATGTCCTGATGTGACGGTGGCTCAGAGCTATATTTTATTAACCCCTAAGCAATTGTTATATGTTTCGAATTATTCATGTGGTCGTGATTCAGAGTATTCCAGTCAATTTAGGGACGACATGGGCCCATATACAGATACCGCCCCCTTTTTTAATACATTGATCCAGCGACGTAGCCAGAAATGAAATGTTTTCACAGTAAATTTATGTTTGCAACAGTGAAATTTTTCATTTTGCACTAGCGGTCCCAAAGTTTTAAGACACATTTTTCATACACATTTTTGTTTTTATAGCGAACTATGTATATTTTTACAACGAACTATTTATTCGGTCCAAACTTGCATTTCTCTTACATTCTTTTATTATAACGAATAAATACTAATAATTGTCAAAAAGGATAAGAACCTCCCAGTTTCTAATTAAATATATATTTTTTCTGCTTAGACTATGTTTGGATATGACGAACTTCTTCTATAACGAACTAATTTGCTTGGTGTATCTGTCATTTATTCTAAGCAGATCGCAATTTGAAAACATATTGTTTAATGTTGTTTCTTCACTTTTATTATTATTTAAATGTTTCCCAATCAGATATAATTCCCATAAACTAAATTTGGTGTCGAATTAGTCAAAACTGTTCGCCTAAAAAGACAGTATTTTAGACGTTGTTTTAAAGCATAGTTCTGATCAAGTTCCGACATTTCGAACCAGGGAGGACAAATTATATATATGCAGGCTATACATTTGATTTAGTTGTGCGATAAAGTATAATTCGCATATAAAAATTGTGATTAGTCTGTCCCTCACTTAAATTTCGCATACGTACCAATGTCACAGAATAAGGAATAATCAAGATTGCAACACAACCCAGTTCTTTTTTCTTTTTATTTAACGTACAAAATTACAGAAAGGGCGATGAGCCGAGGCTGAGGGAACTTGAAAAATATTAACAAATAATTAAAACACCTCTGTACTTGTCTGTATATTTTTGCCAATCTGCACCTTTCACCATCCCATTTACAGTGGATTTTCAATTGGTGTCTGTATTCGCAAATTTATTTTTATTTTCCAAAATATGCAATTGTTCGTGTTGATCTTGTTGTTTTTGCTGTTCTATAGTTTGACACACCACGAAGTGATCTTAATTTTTCAAGTGATGCCAACTTGAGCTACAGCAGCTGCTCCATTCGAGTGTGAGATGTTAACATTAAACCCAATGGGCTGATGTCAACTTCTATTTACGGTAAATTTGTTTCGTCTTGCCTTGTTTGTTGTGGCTGTTGTCTGTCGTTGACTGAGCCCAGTGACAATCGCGTTAACAACGCTTGCCTGGCTGGCGTAGAGGTGACAATTCAGGCTACAAAATGTTTGCAAATTGATCCTGACACCATCATGGCAAAAACATTGCTCCTTGGCATGAAGCGAACGTATTAAGATACATTCATGTGTCTGTCGGTCTGTTCGTTGGTGTGTAGGTTTGACTCTCTGTTTATTCGCTAGCTGATGTGCAGTCCTTGGCCTTCGCTTGCCTTGAATTGTAATGACATGTTGTTTACTTGCAATGGTTTTGGCACTTCATTGGACCTTAATCGACTCCAGCGACAATTCCCAACGACCGCCTTCTTACCACAATGCCAAATATTCTGCCAACTGTCAGGAGATGTTATTCCAAGTGAGCATTCATATATTTCCATTGGTCGTTTAACCGTTACACGTCTTCGATTTGTGATTAACAAGAGATTTGTATTGATTACACTCGAGAAAAGTTGCTACTGCTACACGTAACAACCATAGGTAATTCTTGAGAACAATATGCAGCTCATGGACATTTAGGAAATTAAAGTAAATTGTAAACCAAAGAGCAATTTCTTGGATTTGATAACGTATAATTGTTAATATAATATAATTGGAATTATCATGCCAATTCATGTTTGTAAACCGGTTCAGAAAAAATTAAACGCTTATAATATATTTTTCCATCGTCTGTAGATTTGGGAGTATATATAAAATAAATGTCGAACATTTCACAAAATGGTGTTTGAAGCGGATCAACTCAATTTTTATTCAAATGTTATTTACTATAGTATAAACACATACGTTTTATTAATCATTTAAATACTAAAATGCAACCCTTATTTATTCTTATTGCTTCTCATAAGTAGTACCTAAGCTCAATCTAATTTCAATAAAATCGCTCCACTCCGAGTCTGGACACTCCGACTCTAATTCGTTTAGTGAACACAGAATGCTTAAGATCATTATCCACGCTTGCCCAAGTTGATGGACTCAGATCATAAGCTGGAAGTAGTTCCTAAACAAGGAATACAAAAACAATAAATAAATTGTTGTTGTCTTTTAAGAAGGCATGCAACCTACAAAAGCGTATTGCTTCACTGGCGCCCAACATGGGGTCTGCATCATTTAAATCCAAAGTGGATCCGGCTTTATTGGCACACAACGTCCAGCGTGCTTTATGTTTTATTTTTTCTGGTTCCCTATATATTATGTTTGTTTGATATCCCAATAATTTGCAACAATTTGTACAAATTGTTACCGAATGTTGTTCAATAACTTACAAGTTCAGTAAATGAGAGTAATAGTAATTAACTGCCTTAATTCAAATTAACTTGTACATTATCCTCATTTTTATGTTTTGTTAATGCACAAAATCAAACTGAATTTATACTGAATTAAGCAATTTCAATATGGCAATGCTGTAGAAAATAAATTAATGGTTGTCAAATTTGTTTATGTTTATGAAAATAAAAATTAGAAATAAAGGCAAAATTCAACATTCCTTCAAATTTGGAGCTGTTTTATCTTCATTATAGCTGCTAGTTTTCTTCCTGTCATGTATCAATTTCATAAAGATGTAATCCTAAAAAAATATTGTAAACAAATTTCAATATTTTCTTCCTACAAACAGACAAACAATAGTTTTAAAACAAAAAAAACTGGATCGTAAATGCAGAAACTTTCGTCTGTCAGGGGGTAAATTTTAATTCAAATTAGTTCCGTTCCAGAACCTAGAAGAATCTACTCATTTTACATTTTTCCAACTTTTTACTCGAAACCCGTTCCTCAACCCACAAAAGTGGTAAAACATTGGCTCAAATTTAAGAGAGCACAAAACAAAATGGCGTTCTCTTTGAAAACTTTTTACTCGAGAAATTTGGTCGAGTAAAAATGGTAAACAGGAATGCCTACTTCTGATTGGCTGTTATGTTGATTTTGAAGTATTGCCATCTAATTCTGACATATTTACTAGATTTGCGTTCCCGAACTTTTCCAATTATTTTGTACTCTGAGAGCAATTTTGAAATGTTTCCCTTTTACTAGATTTACTATTAAAAAAGTACTGGAACAGACCATGTAAGAACTTTTTAATGCAAATCAAGGCAGTCGTCTGTCTATGGTATAAGTTGAGGGATAAATTTTGTCAGTTATTTACTGAGTATTGAAAAATTCTTACTGGAAACATTTACTCAGTAAGAATTTTCATATTTATGTTATGTTGTCAAATATATATTATTATTTTTTTTAATCAATGCAATAATCTGAATATTTTATTTTTTTTTTTTTTTTGGGATATTTAACAATATGCAATGTATAATAATTTGAAATACATAAAATTCATTTATAAAAATTGTTATTTTGTATCTGATTTCAGTAATTTTTATAATTTTATAATTGTACCATGGTTGGAAATATAACAATTTATATATTGTTACAAGTTGTAACCATATTGGACATACATACATTTTTGAGTGAACATTTCTTACTTCCCATTATAGTTCGCCTGGCAAAGGCAACAAACAACACACAATTCCCCATTTTCATGTATTTAGCCCATTGACTTTTGCCGCATGAAGGAAACAATAAATGTTGTGACCTGCAATAATTCTCCAAACAAAATTAAAGGTAAACATTTTAATTGATTTTGGAATCCATGTTCGGAATGTAGGATTTATTCAGGAATCTCAATTGTCGATGTATTACTGGCATTGGCATTGAGACGCATTTCATAAATCACAGCTCAAAATTAAGAATATCCTCATTGGATAATTAAAATTCGAAAGCATGTTGACGAAAGTGCCGATGTATTTTATATGAACATAAAAATTCAATTACAGCTTAGTCCATAAATGCGAATCGGCGTCTCTTGTAAGAAATAAGAGCGATTACGAATGTCGAAATCTTTTATGCTTTGCTCTACATAATATTTTTTAATTATGATGAACCATTTTTTTCTAAAGTTGATTGACTATAAGATTCGGCTGACGCAAACTATTCGATATTGAACTATTTTAATTAACTCAACAAGAGTGAACAATGCCAAGAGCTATCGTGAAATTGAAATCATTCGGATTTACTTTGATAATTACGTCCTATTCTATCGCTTCTGCTGATTCGTTCTTGAATTGAAGATAATGGGATGCAATCAGCGGCAGCAACTTGCAAAGTGTGAAAACCAAACAAACAATTCAATTGTATGCGACAATGATCCGTGTACATGCGCATGCGGCACATGCCCGCTTGCCAATGGCCAGAGCGTACACACAGGAGAACAAGGTTGGTTCCGATTTGTGGCAGCGACATGAAAGAGAACAAAGCCACGACTAAATATAGAACTTCTAAAGATAGAAACGAACAGAACAATGGAAAGGTGTTGAGAACTTCAACATCATAGATTACAAATCAGAATGTGCAATTGAGTGATTGGGTGGGTATAAAAGGATCTGGCACAATGTCAGCTAACATCATAAGTTCTTTGGACGCGTTCCTGTTGAGAGCGTGTTGTTTTTCTTTTTTGCAGACAGAGCTACAATGAAGTTGTTCTTAGCCTTGTTGGCAGCAATGATTGCAACAGCTCAAGCTGCCAGTGTCTCGTATGTGGTGGGTGCTCCAACTCTCCGCGCCTATCCCTATGTCTATGGCAGTCATGGTACCACCGTCGTCACTCCCGTCCAACAACAATACCATACCCAGGATGAATTGGGACAATATGCGTATGGTTACAGTGATCCTCTGTCCAGCAAACAGGAGATTCGTTCCTTGGATGGCGTAACTCGAGGTTCGTATTCGTATCGTGATGCCGATGGTATTCTACAAACTGTTGACTACAGGGCCGACGACACGGGATTTCATGTTGCAGCCACCAACTTGCCAAAACCAATTGGCCACCAGTCGCCAATTCCCGATACAACTGCCACAGTTGCCGATACCACAAATTCCATTTCCGCAGATTCCGATTCTGAGTCAGTTAACTCAGCTGGCGAGCCTAGTGATGCGATTTATTCGCGGAGCGGGTTGCGCTTGGCAGAGTCTGCAGCCGCTTACACAAAATCTGTTCCAATTGCAGCCCATGTTCGCACTATGGAATTGCCTCAGTCCTTGGCGGATACCATTAAGGTGGCCCCGACCACAGGTATTTATGTGAGTTCGGCTGCGCCCAGAAATGTTGTTGTGGCTCGACCACTAGCAGTTGCCGGTGTTCCAGTGGCCACGAAATCCTTATTGCAAAAAGTGTACGGATTTGGCTACCCACTGAGTAAACAGTACATTTATTATTAAGCGGACATTGATCGTTTGTTTGCAATGGTTCTTAAGGAATTCAAAGCAATTCATATAAATACATCCTGAAATAAATTAACTGATGTTTTACTTAAGAGGAAAATAACGTAGACATTAAAGATTAAGAAATGAAAAGAAGAAACTTGAGGATAATAGCCGCATTCATCTTCAATGTTACATTTTAGATAACAGATAAATTTTAATAAAGAAAAATAATTTGTGGATCTGATTCAAACGTTACACACAAATCTAAAACCGTCTTAAAATCAATTTATTTAAAATATATTGTGTAATATATTTTGTTAACTCCCCACGAAACGTCATGGCCAGGTCTCTGTTTGTCCGGCCGCAATCGGTTTAGAAAATAGCATTTATTCTTAAATGTATACACATATGCTCTCTTAATATTCGATTTTTTTTTTGGTTTTCCCCTTGGAACTTAATAGAAACTACTTTTAATGGACCTTGGTTTAGTTTTTAGTTACTCTAAGACATTTGCTGCATCCTTATTAAATCTGCTTTTCAAATGTTGATTCATTCCTACCATTGTATTATTGTTATATTCTTAACCATTTCTGATTCAGTTTGTTAAGGATGCAATTGGATTATTCGTCTTGACCTGACATATGAGGACCCTTACTTGCAATCATATTTGAAGTATACTGCTTAGGATAGTATGTTGCCGTTGATGTTATCATTAATGTGTGGGCCTAATCATCTGTACTCACATCTGGGCGAAAGACAGATCAGTCATGTCTTTGAATTTGAATGTACATCGCAACGTTCGATTAAAACACATATACCAGAATTTCCTCCACTAAATGTGAATATACATATATACGTACATACATTTTATTTGATTTTTCGATTCATTGCATGTTGAGATATACGTGAATGCATCCGGAAAAAAATGACTGCATGGACATCTCAACAAAGTTGTACACGACAGTTGAAACGGGCTGCCGCCATCGTTTAGATTAATGATCGAACGATTTGGTATTGGTGTATGCGATAACAAATTGCACTGGCATATGGTGGTTCAGAAGATATGCCACATTACTACTTTTAAAATGGGATTTATATAAACATATATATTGATCGGAGCATTGACATTGAAGATATACAGTTATTTTGCAATACTCCGTACATTTGATTCCCATTAAGTTTTATGACATGGATGTTATACAATGGGCGATATTGTGAAAAAACCTCTTAAATTTTGTTGAACTTATTGTTATATACTGGAAAACATTGAAGCTGGACTTACTCACTTAAACATTTTCCAAATTTGAATACAAAATGGAAAATAATTTGTGGTCGGAATTACGGACCCATCGACCTGAATTTTCAAATATCGCTCCATCTCCGGTATCAATGTGATAAACAGTGTGTCTATTGACTTTGTGGCGGGTATTTTCATATTCTATCATCCGATTTCGTAATTAAGTTAATGCCGTCCGTGATGTGATGGTTCCGGAATCAGTGTACATGATCAGCAACTGAGTAACAATTTCGATTGCACGGGATTAAAATGCCTCCAGAGGCATAGCTACAAGATGGCTAACGACAACCTTGGTTAGGTACTATACTTCTGTTTCATTCAGTAGCTTTAACATAGATTATTTTAGGACGAAATGCTTTGATTGATTCTGCAATAATGTTTTGTGATGGTACGTCTACGACGTAAACAGTTACTCCAAGACACAATAAGTTTTATACGCCACGTTGCTCTGGAGGTGCTGTATTAATTGTCGGTTATAAAAACTCACGCTAAAGAGTGACTTATGTTCTGATTGCAGTTGCGATGATGACCTAGAATTCCTTCTGGTATCTGAACATCATAATAATTGAGTCGTTCTCTGAGGCAACGACTGAACTGTTGTATCTTGACTACCTCAGGGTTAGGAAACGTATGGCGTTCAGTGGTTTCGAAGTTAGAAGAACTATCGTCTTTCGTCAGACCCGAAGGCACTATGGATATGTTTGTTGAGCTGTGACAGTTTCCCCTTATTCTGGCGGCAAGTCCTCATTCACCGTGCAAAACGTTGCCTAGAACGAAATTCAAAATTCATGGTGGGCACAGGCGGTGGCTAATGTCAAGCGAATAATGCGTGGCACACTAATAAAACTGCAGCGTTCCGAACTGTTATACCGATAAAAGCTTTGAAGACTACCACGAATATTATACTTTTGCGACTACTATTACCTGATTGAATATCCCTCGAAGTCCATCTCAGTGGAGTTGGTAAAAACGGGCATTATCCGGCGTTGTGACATCACTGGGCGGTGTTCGTGGCTGCGGCGCATATTGCTGTTGTAGAGATTGCAGGGGAGTGACGTATTCGAATACATCTTCAGCCTACATATAATCATAATTTCATTATGGTAAAAGGACATATGTATTTGTGTGTTTAACAGGGAAAAGGAAACGAAATAGACCCATAGATACTTTTGGTGATATATGTTCTACATTTCCGTCCGTCTATCCATGAATTCGAAATTATTATTCAATTACGTTGTAACTTCACACCTCATTCTATGGGTCCAAGGACGACGAGTCTCATTGACTTGTTGTGAGAATCGTTCCGATTTAGTTATAGCTCGTCCCATCAACTGGGCGACAAGCTATCCTGCAATAAGTCTACAATGGTAGCTAATTCGGCCAGTGTGCAAAGATGCGTGCGCCAAGTTTCAATAGCAACTCCCCCAACAATGACAACACGTTAACAATGCACGAACAAAACGTGTGGATATCTGGCCAATAAACAAGACCAATTCACGTGCTTCGCGGCATGACATCTTTCGCTCCGGTAGCTTGGGAGTTGCTGTGTTGAGAAATGTTACTGTTTCAATGCTGTTGCAGCGACTGCGGCATTTCGAATTAAACGATCGCCAGACATTTACAGAGGTATTGCGGACAAAAGTAAACGAAAGAACCCATGGACAGTTCAAAGAAGGCAACATCAAAACGGTAACTGCAGTGCCACAATTTGACAACGCCAGACAGGAAGACGGACATCACCTCCGTCCATCCCATCGCGTCTCAGAGATGTTAACTTTCGAATGTTGTGGTAGGTCGGCAGCATGGCCTACTGTTGCTGCAGATATTTACAGTAAAAGTAAACTGGGTGACCTTCCTCGAAATAAGTTTTGAACTTCATGAATCCATGTAACTGCTTTTGTACATGGTTCTGTGTTCTGACCGTTCAATTTCCGTCTCTCCCGCCAACGAGCAAGCGTGTGTGCATGTCATCGAAGTTTACGTAGTGAATATTTGATGGTCACATTTAAGATAGCCCGGTATAAAAGCAAGAACAGTTGTGCAATCATAGCACAAACCCATTCCAGTGTTCTCTAAAGCGAGTACTAGTCTTCCTGAAATAGCTAGCAGCGCTTTGACATAAACGAACCCCGTAAATACAATTTTCAATTCAGCCGGAAATATGCAGTATTTAATCGTTCTGACATTGACATTGGCTACAGTACAAGCCAAAGGGTATATTTATCCTGTTCCCTCAGTACTCCTGCAAACTCCAATGGTGGCCACGAAACACATTACACCGCCGAAGCTATCACAGCAGCAACAGACACAAGTACAGCATTACTTCACCCAGGACTCGTTGGGCCAATATTCTTACGGATATTCAGAACCATTGTCCACAAAACAGGAGATACGAAGTATGGATGGTGTAACACGAGGTTCCTATTCCTACATTGACGCACATGGTCTTTTGCAAACGGTGGACTATGTAGCCGATCAAAGTGGATTTCATGTTGCGGCTACAAACTTGCCCATGAACACTCCACAGCCGGTTACGGACACTCCCGAAGTGGCATTAGCCAGAAAACAGCACTTAGAAGCGCATCAAGCAGTACTCAATGGTGATATGACCAGCAGCTCTTCCACAATACTGTCGAAGCCGGTTAAGGACACAGTTGAAGTTGAAACTGCCAAAAAAGAGTTCTTTGCCCGCTATGCCCTTGAAGAAGAGAAACAGAAGCTTTTGCGCCAAAATGGCCACTTAAAGAGCAATATCCTAGTTGTGCCTGCTGTTCGGTCGCCCCCACGTTCAACCCTTAAAACAGTCACTTTGGCAAACCCAAGTGTCAGACGCCAGCAAGAATCCCCGGTTTTTCCTCAACGTTACTATTTGCCAGCTATTTGAAGTGGTGCCCTGCGCATTCCTCAGAACTAAAATTACGTTTTTGTTACTTCTTCAGTTTTTTCAATAAAATGTAAATTGAATTTTATTCGCTTCTAAGATACTGTGCCGCATGCTAAATGGAAATGTGGGCTAAGATTATATTGGATTGTAGCACTTTTAGTGCAATACTCAAAATAGGTTCTGCGTCAAATGTCAGAATGACTGTTGTATGCCGAAAAGTATTATTCAAGGTGTATTTAATAAGGTATTTAATAATGCATCAGATACAACAACAAATATTTTACAAAAACAACATTGTTGTTATAGAAATTAAATTGTCATGCTGACAATAAGTTTTTGACAAAAATAAACAAAAACAATTATTAATTTATTTTTGTCAAGAACTATTCTTTGAGGAATAATTAATGAATTTGTGTATTCTTGGGTTATTAGCGGTTTTAGGTTAGTGAAACATAAAGTTTAAGACCTGGTCGCGATTAATTTTAAGCTTCCCACATGCAGCCCATGGCTCCTTGTGATGTTGTTTATATTGAGAATTACAATCTATTTTTTCTATGGTGTGGCTTCAAATCTTGCCTTCTTAAAGAAAATTGAAGAACATAAATCCCCGGCCAAAGACTAAATCATGGAAATTGTGTTGACCGTATAAAATCTTTCCATAGGCGTATTTAACCTCCGCCGAGGATTGTGACAAGCACCAAGGGGCCGATTCCAATATAGGCTAACACAATCTCCTCGGTTTTAAGAGTAGCTGGGATTTATGGACAGATTTCCACACATAACATAAAATATAACAATCGGCGAACGGGGTTATAACTGATTTAATCCTAGGTTTCCTTTCCGTCGGCCTCTATGAATGAAGTTTTCTTGAATTTTTATTATTAAAAAAGCCTAAATTTAAAGACCATTTTTGAAATCGAAATGTTATTGAAAATGTTTTTGACAATTTACTTTACAAACAAAAAAGAAAAAAAGTTTGAAACCATATGATTGTCACTTACACCTTATTAAATACACCTTGGTATTATTGTTGTACATGTTTTATTTCAATTTAGTTTTTGTATTTTTCTCTATAAAGTGAGACATTTATTGTGGTAGTCATTCGTTCGCAACTATTCCCGATTTTCGAAAAGGTGTTGGCTATGCCCGTCCAATCCCCATAATACATTTAAATAATGTACATTTCTGCATGTATGCAGGTTTTAAGTAGCACTCAAATGATGAGTATTCCAAGGTTTTTAATTTTCAGATCAAAGGTCATTCATTCATTATTGCAACAGACGAACTGTTTGTTATTCGATACGATCCCAAAATGATTGTTTGTTTATTTTATTTCATCGACAAATTTGGCTATGTTTGGTATGCTGAAAGTCTTGGCATGTAATTTGTCCTTCGTTTTCCTGGTGTTCTAAATTAGCAATCCACCTACTTTTAAGGAATGCTCTTCTTCGATGTTGTATACCCAAGTTAATTTTTTACTAGAAATTTGTTTCCGAACACAAGTAAAATCCCTTCTGCTTGTTACTGGCCAAAGTTAACCGCGCTCGGCTGGTAACCAGGAATGCCAACTGTTGTGTTGATTTTGAAAAGTTTTCATATGCGTTGGCTAGTAAAACTTAGTGTCTCCTTTCTTTTTCCAAGTTCTTATATTATGTTGGGGTCTGATGACAACTTGTATATTTTATTGTTTCAGTAGTTCTACTAATAATGAAGTACGCGAACCTGGCATTAATTTTGCATTTGATTTTTTCGCGTTCATCTACGATGAAATGCCAATGACTTCCTCCGTTTCGGAACTACAACACAACAGTGACATCCCATAAAAACGCTAAGTCGGCAACACTTATTTATGTTGCCTTCTTATACTTCTGTAGAGCTGATATTTCGTTTCAGCGAGAAAGGCCTTCTAGACACATCTAGCGAATAATCAAATATGCGTAAATAATAAGTCTTCACTTATTGCCAAACAATTGTAACGAATCTCAACAATTATCAGGCAATCTAGCCCCAATTGGAAACTCTTAAAATAATCCATACGAAGCATCAACGCATGGTCCCATTAAAACCTTATCAGTAAGTGGGGCATTTGGTTTGGGACCCAAACAGCGATTTTATGGCTTGCCATAGAGAATGTGTTCCATCATCACATACCATAAAACTTAGAATATTCGTATTTCAATTCTTATCGGCAGCGAACAACAGCGCCCAGATCGTTCTTCGGCAAATAAACAACCCCCGCAATCATTTGTTCGACATATGTATAAATAGCATGTTGACTTGTCCGATAACACCGTATTTATACGGTTATCAGGTGATGTGACTTGACATTGAACCATCACGAATTCTCGAGGTGCCGCATTCATCCCGTACGGTTGCACATTTCAGAAAATGGTGCACTCACTATACAGGATCATTTGAATTTGTCATCAATCGACAACAGTGAAGACCTCCCGAATGAAAAAAAAAAAACATTTACACCATCTTAATTGGAAAATGTATTTATTTTATTGTCGTTTTCCTTTGCAGTTTCAGTGTGTTTTTGTTCGTTTGCTTATTAGCGTCTGTTTAGTTTCAGTAGAAGTGTAGAAAGTAATAGAATTGGACTACAATCAGTTTAGGTGTACTTTTGGCTTGTTTGGCTGTCGATCAACTTGAATCCTACCGCGTATCCTTTAGAACGACTTCAAACGTTGGGTTATATAGGTGGTGCTCTTGGCCAAAGGCAAATGACCATTTACACCGCCCACCCGAATTGACTCTATGCGTGGCAGGGTGGTCAAGACCGTGGGTATTTCGACAGTGTAGTGGGCATTGGGATTGTCTACGGTGTAAAAGGAGTTCTCTTGAGAGTTCTGTAAAATTGACGATTCGTCTTGCTTTAAATTACCATTGCTCAAACCAAGGCTGCTGCTGATGAGGTCATCTCCATTGCCATTTCCACTGCCGACTTTCAACACCACATTCGAGTCGCCGTTGTCCATGCTGTAAATGGTTCTGAGTTCCGAAAGAGCAGGTTGGCCGATAGTAGCCTGAGCCAGGGCCTGACCAGCACCATGGGCTCTTGCCTCAGCACTAGCACTCAGGATGTAGGTGGTCATAAGTTGCTGTGATTGTTGGTCGTCTCTGGCGCGTTCCTCCTCATGCTCTCTCAACAAATTCAATAGCTGATCTCGGGAATTTTGTCGACTCAGCAGCAGGTCTCTTGTGTTCTGTTGTAGTTCGGCACTTGTATCGCTCTCGGCCGAGGCTCGTTTGAGTTCATTTTCGTCCGTTTGCTCGTCGGTGTCTGGTTCCATGGCCGCTTTAATGGCTGCTTCGCGATACGCCTCGAAATGCGCCTGTTTGGCCATTTCTACTTCAGGGGTATCGGTTACTGGCTCTGGAGGGCGATTATTATCCACTGGCTGGCTGGGCAGATTTGTCGCTGAAGCGGTAAAGCCTTGTTTGCGGCCTGCCTCATATTTCACAGTCTGCAACTTTCCGTCAGAATCGATGTATGAATAGAATCCCTTGGAGGAACCATCGCGTGTTTTGTACTCGGCCTTGGCAGACTCTTCGCCACTATAGCCGAAGGAATAAAATCCTTTGGAGTCCTGTTCCCGGTACTCTGTAGTGGGAATTTCGGGTTTCACCACAACCAACTGGTGGGTGCGGGATGCGGCTGTCACAGACAACAAGGCGCACAATAGGATCAATTTCATGTTGATGGTACACGTCAACTCCTTTGGTATCCGATTGGTTGAAGTTCTGAAATACTTCTAATGCCAAAGTGTCGCTGTGATTACAATTTATAGCGGTTTTGTGCGAAACGAGTTACACCCTTCCAAAATATACAATTCGTATTTTGTGAAATATTCGAAGTGGATCCGATGACCAGAAATATGTGGCCCCCACCTCCCTTCTTCTTGTGATCATGATTTAAGAGTCTTCTTTGTTGACCTAGAAACTGGCGCCCAACCAACGAACAACTGTGGCTGATGCTTGTAATGTATACCACACGAAAACGGGGCCGGAGGCAAGTAACATCAATGTGGCATCAACATGGAATGCCTCAAAAATGGTGAACAGCACCACCACAACCGTCAGCAACTTTTGCAACGTCGTCTGCTGCAGTTTAACGACCATATACATATGTATTTCACAAGCTGTATCGAATTTCTATTGGCGATTGTAGTTCAAAATGCGAACCCAAATTTCAAACTGACGGGCTGTTAAGTAAGCAGCCACTTTTTTCTGTTAAGGTGTAACATTCGTGTTAAGGTTGACCATGTCAAAGATGCGTTGGTGAGGTTTATTTCCAAGAGAAGCAATAGCTGTCTAAAATGATGACTATGTGTATGTGTTGGTGTTACAGTTACGGTTGCATACAATAACCGTACTAGCAACATTGTGCGATCATTTTGTGCAACGAAGAAAGAATATCTGGAGTCAGTCGCCACGTTCGGGTCTATTATATTCCTTCATTTCATAATTGGCTGTCGTAAACTCATGCTGGGTAAATTATAGATAAATGCGTACTGTTTTCATAGTCAAGACACAAAAGAGAACTCTAAATCGCTCTGAGAGAAACAAACAATTCGGGTACGGAAAAACTGTGAAAATGGCAAAACAACGTGGCAATCACTTAAAACCAAACCCAAATTATAATTTTTTACTCCACCAAAATTATGTGCTGTAGACCACGGATATCTTATATAAGAAAAACACGGACATAAGAAAACGTTTCACCCATATATGAAAACAGTTTATTATGTCAAATACATTCATGCAAGAAACACGCGCTTATAAGAACAAATTTCTCGATTTTATATACTATACTATAGAATAGAAAAGGCAAAGGTAAATTATTTAAAAGTGTGTTGGAACTTAATCAGAAGGAACATAATATACAGTGAAGAAAGGAAATGTAAAATTTGTGCCTTCATTTGAAAGTTTGTAAAATAGCTCAGGTCACTTGAAAATCGTTAAAATTTTAAATCGAGAAAAGAGGGCATACTTAAAGTTAGACATTGACATCCTAACTTAATTTCATTGCCGGTCCCCATATTTCTGGAAAGTTGACTTCTTCTATTTGGCCATCATTTAAAACCCACGTTGAACCATTCGAAGCCATTTTGAGAACCTTGATTAGGTTTTTGGCAAGTGTTGTGGCGCTTTGGGGTTCCATCGACTTCAGAACATTATAAAGCTCTGGCAAATGTTTGATTCCCATCATTTTTGTAAATGCTTGCTGAAACATTGGTGTGGCCGTTCCCCCAGGGCAGATGGTAATGAAACTGATTCCAGTTTTTCTGTAATACATAGGTTGCTAAATACAAATGACACTGTTTTTAGTAAGGGTTTATGGTGTCGCAATTAAATCTTACTCCCAGAGTTCTGGTGAAATAAAGTACACCGCTTTTCGTTGCACCATAGACGCAACAAATCTCCGTTGGATTTAAGCCGGCTATAGAAGATATATTGATAATACAGCCTCCGTGGCCACCATTGGATTTACTCATATGCTCCATAGCAATCAGGGTACTATGAATAAGACCTGTCTGAAATTTAAAAAGAGTAATAAATCGAGTTACGCCTCTCCTTATCAATTTACTAAATTAGTCTGCACTATTTGGTCGATCTCTTCCTCATCCACAATGCCAGCTCCATTTATCACCACATCGAAAGTCTGTATCATGGTCTTAGCTTTCTGGAATGCATTCCGAATGTCTTCACTGTTGGTAATGTTCATTGGAATATAATCCAAGTACGAATGTGTGTACGTATTTTGTAAATATTGCAGATATTCAGCATTGCAGTGCACATCGAAAATTAAAAGACTTTTTACATGATCCTTAAGGAGTGCCTCAACACACTTTTCACCAATGCCACCGAATCCGCCAACGTAAATTATATTCTTTCCCTCCAGTTCCATAATTCTTTTATTTTGTCTTTGTTGTTTGAATTGTTTGTACCGACTGGAACATTAAAATCGAAAGCAGTTCTCTAATAGCAAAATACCGCGTATGGACAAAGAGGTATCCAGTTTTGGAATTTATTAGCCATAAATACATAAAGCGCTTAGAAGATATCTAATTAAACAAACCGTTAGGCAAAAATATATTCTAACTGAATACAATTTCAATTCGACCAGGTCGAATTTCGTATAACCTCCACAACTCCTTCTTACCTCTAGCGAAATTAACTTCGCGTTTCAAAAAACATTTTAGTTCACATTATTACGCTTTCAAAATATGAACAAAAAAAACTTGAATATTCTTTGCTTATGAAGAATAAATAAAGACTACATACACCTTTGTTATATAAAAATAATACGGCATATGCTGATTGCAATGTGCGTTATGAGTAATTCCCTGAAAAAATCTGGTCTATTTTAGATATTGACTACTTTACTCTGTTTTTACAAGATCAACAGCATAAAATAATGACGTAACTGTTCCAAACAATATTGGTTGGAAACATATTTCGTCTGTTGTTGACATAGTTTTGTCCTCATTAATAAGATAATTAATATACATTTATATATTTATTTGCCCCCGAAATAAACATCATTGTACGGACGAAAAGGTCGGCAATCAAATTAAAAAATGTTGTTTTTTTTCTTTTTTTTTTTGAAAATGTATTTAAATAAATATTACAACGAAACTAATTTATATGAAATAATTTGAAAAATATATGTATATATAAAGCTACCTGTATTTAGATGTACTAGTCTGCATAGAGATCCATCATTGCTCTGAAACCATTAGTTGTCTGTTTTATATCTTAGGGTTGGTCCCCATATTTCCGGTAATTCGACTTTAAAACTTTGACTGTCGTGTATCACCCACACTGAACCATTCGGTCCATTTTCGACAATTGTCATCAGATTATCGGCCAATGCATCTGAAGTTTGCTCAATCACGTTCTCATACATGTTCCCTTCGGTTGAGCGGAACTTATTCGCGAAGGATTTCTTCTCAACAATCACATTCATTGGTGTTTTGGTAACGCCTGGGCAAACGGTAATAAAACTTACGCCGGTTTTATCGAAATACATGGGTTGCTATAACATAAAAATGAACACATAAATATTTGTACATAGAGGTATATATACATATATCGTTAGCTAATATACAAAAAGGCGTAATTGCGTAGGAGAAGCAAAAAAAAAATGTTTTGAATGAAAACTATAAACATGTCATGTGAAATGAAAAAGTATGCCCGGCAGATTGATATTGCATATGACGAATAATAGACTATAATTTTTTTTAACAAATTTAGTTATTTAGTTTGATGGCAGTCATAACAATTAAGTAAAAACGTGAAATTGTTGTTAGTTACGCCTTTTTGCATTTATCAAATAAAACCACTTGTAGTTACGTCTTTTTGTTTTTTGTTAATAGAAGCTCCTTTTTTATCCCAGACGTGTAAAACTTTGTCAACACATGTAGTTTATTGGCATTCACAATATTCATTCAAAAAGTCAATTTTCAATTTTTTGTTAGTTACGCCTTTTTTCATTTTAGCTGACGATATGTATATATATAAATATATATATAAGATGAATATATATCTTACCGCCAAGGCTGTGGTGAAATGAATTACACCACTCTTTGTTGCACCATAGAAGCAGCAAAAATCGGTGGGATTTAGACCAACTGTGGACGATATGTTAACAATGCAACCGCCGTTGCCACCATTGGCCTTACTCATGTAGTCCATGGCTATAGCAGAGCAATGCATAGGCCCAGCCTTAATAAAATATCTACTTATTATACACGCACGTGATTTTGAATTCCAATAAATTGGCATACCAAATTAATTTGCACCAATAGGTCGATGTGGTCTTCCACAGCAACGCCAGATCCATTTATCACGATATCGAACGAACCGATTAAATCCTTCGCCTTTTTAAACGCGTCCTTGATGGTCTCACTCTTTGCCAGATCCAAATGGATGTAATCAATGAATGAGTTTTTGTAGGTATTTTGTAAATATTTCAGAAACTCGTCGTTCGACATCAAATCAAAAATGAGGAGACTTTTTACGGACTTTTTCAAAAAAGCCTCGACGCAGCTTTTGCCAATACCACCGTATCCGCCAACGTAAATAACATTTTTTCCTTTCAGTTCCATTTCGATGTAGTTTCGATTGACGTGATTTCTTGTTGAACCGTTTACTTTGGATGTCGGTGTGAAAATGAATACCAAAAGATTCGACGTTTTCTCATTAAATATTTCTGTTGATAATAACTATGTGTGTATGTATGTTCGTCATCGACATGCGTTATCACGCGAAATATATTTTCAAGTTTGCATTCTTTAAAAAAAAATAATAGTTCCGTTCCAGAACTTCTACACCACTAATTTTACACCTATCTACTAGAAAACGATTTATGTATCCACACAACTAGTAAAAGATTCAGCCAAATTTAAAAGAACATAATCCAAAATTATAGACTTCTTTAATCATCTGCTTGACTGGTGCGCACGATAACTCTCGAAGGCTGTAACCGATTTCACCCAAACTTTGTACATCGTACTATTTCTTCTTTCTTGAATCAAACATTGCACGACCTAATAACCCTCTGTATTATTGGAAGATGGGTCTTATCGACGCATTCGATCCTTAAACCCGAATTTGCATATCAGTTTTTTAAGCCCGGCATTTTAAAGTGGGACACATTCGGCCATACACAGATAGTGCAAAATTATTTCCTTAAAATGTTTTTGAGTTTGTCTTTAAAAATAATCCTTTAATATGGTTCGAAATTACGTATATAAGACTAAATGTGCTTGTATTGACGAAAATGCGATAGAAAACACCTATTACTGATGGTGTGTGCGACCTTGAGATCTCAACGTCCGCCGCTAGAAAATATAGCGCTACAATTCAAACATTGCGTCGCGTATTAAAACCAAATAGAGCCTTTAGAGGATCTGAATTTCAACCAGACTGATAGCGATGATAATTACCAGGTTATGACTATGGTGCCGAATGTGCCCCACCAAATGCCGAAGCTACCCCGGGTTGAGGCACATTCGGCGAATTTGACTTTTTTTACAAAACTGTAAAAATTTGTAACTAATACTAATTTTTTATATCCTTTTGGTACTAGTTTTTATAATTAAGTGTCTGAGAACAATAATCAGCCATAAAGTTTTTATATATGTTGAATAAGTACTGATATATAGAGCTCTAAACAAAAAGTGCCGAAGGACCCCAGTCTCCCCTGCCATTTATATTTAGTTGGAAACGATTTATGATTAAAATAATTTATAATGTTAACATTTTGTTAACGAAATTAACAAAAACTGTACTCTAGTGTAATGTTGTATTATGCCATATTTACATAAAAACATATTCAACAGGTTGTTTTGTTTATTTGAGATATTTTTAGAATTTTATTAAATAAGGAAAATATCGCCAAACATGAATGGAACGTCAACCTTTTTCACAATATGGGGTTGCAAATATAACTATAGTAATATTTCTTCCCAAAACAATGAATGATTTTATTCTCGAATGATGTAATGTTAAATGTTAATTATATCAGAATTTGAAAATATTTGAATTTCTTGTCATATTCAAGATATTACATACACATATAAAATTGATTTATGATTTTGACAGAACAGAGGAACACAAAAAAAATGTAATCAGCTGGTACCATTAACCTACCTCTTGTTATTGTACCATGGCGCTGACGACAATTCTTGCCAGTACTGCCAAGTTTTCAGATAATCAATGGAATCATAGATTCGTTATAACTTTTGAATTTGAAATTAAATTTGATACACAGCAAAGTGGAATTTTCTCTTTTTTATTTAAATGAGTATTCCACTGCACCTTTCATATGACACCAATTTCATTGAAATATCTGCATTACGAAAAAAGTTATGACAAAAGGAAATGTTCTATGCACAACTTTCATTTAATAACTGCAACACGAAAAAAAATTATGACAAATGAGGTATGCAATTTTTTAGAAGCGTGTAACTTTTGAACAAATAATCGGATATGTTAAACATTGGTGTAATGAGAAAACTTAAACAGTCAACTTTTCTATGACCAGCAAATACAAAACCTCACAACTACATTCCTTATTATTTCTATATTTCATGTATACGATTGTACCTTTCATATGACACCAATATCATATAAATATCTGCAATAGTTGAAAAGTTATGGCTAAAATAAATGTGGTTTACATTTGGCATGATCGATTTTTGGATCCACTCTTTCAATAGATGGCGTTGATGACAAGCGTTTGCCAAGTTTGCAGATAATCAGCGGTATGTTAGATTCATAACATTTGAATGCGTAATGATATGGAAATAATTCAAATGTATATTTATAGCCTAGAACCTACAAATTTCACTGCAGGTGAAGTTCTAATTAGTAGCTGAATAATGTATTTAAACTCATGTAATGTATAAATTCCGTAAAAAATAAACACTTACTATTAAACATGTTGCATAAGTAAGGAATATAAACGTATATCGAAAAATGTGACACAATTTATTTCGATTTTTGTTCGAACCTTCTTATTGTACTGAGTGTGGGGTTACTGATTACCAATTACCCAAATCGCATGACACACACTTGCTGGAGTATGTATTCGTACTCTTCAATATTAAATTTTACAATGTTTAGTTACCAATTATCGATAGTTTATTTTTTTATATGTTTTCCACGCTCCGTGTTTTCACCCATGACGGTTGGCAACCACTGATACCAGAACAAGTCACCTACTGGTCGTCCATCCCAAATCATTAAAGAATCCTTCACAAAACACATTCATGAAGACCCATAGACTATTTGTGGGATTAATTGACATAATTGGCAAATTACTCCAATCAATGCCAAAATGACTTTCAGAGGTTCTTCAACGCAAAAGATACCCACAAGTTACTAAAAGTTTGCTTATTTTTCAACAATATTTCATGTGCACGAATACTATTTCTGATAATAATAACAAAAAGCAAATACAACCTTCAAAAAAATTATTGTTAAAAACATTAAACACCTAATGCGTATGGGTACGATTTTATTCACTTCAAAAGTTAAATACATATATTTCAATAAACGTTACCCAAATACGCATTGCGTATCAAAATATAACAGCCTTGCCTAAAATTCAACTAGCTCGTTCGACGTTTTTCACCACAAAAGTAGAACACATGTATTTATATGAATGTTACGGAAATTCGTCGAACGTACAAAATTTAAAGTTGAACAATTTCAACTTTGACAGAACGTATTTTTAATTTTTTCTTTTGTTGAAAAAAGAAACAAAACATAAAGAAATATAATTTTTATACCCTCCACCATAGTATGGAGGGTATATTAATTTTGTCATTCCGTGTGTAACTCATCGAAATATTCATTTCCGACCCTATAAAGTATATATATTCTTGATCAGGGTAAAATTCTAAGACGATCTAGCCATGTCCGTCCGTCCGTCTGTTGTAATCACGCTATCTTTTGAAGGAATTGAGATAGGGTGCTGAAATTTTGCATAGGGTTGTCTTTTGTCTGCAGGCAGGTCAAGTTCGATGATGGGATATATCGGTCCACGTTTAGGTATAGCTCCTATATAACAGTACCTCCCAATTTTCGGTATTTTGGGGTTCTTGATCTCGTTTTTCAACCGAATACGCTGAAATTTAATACATTGGGTTCTTAATAGGCACAAAATCTCTCCACAAAAAATTATAAATATAGGTCAATTTTTTCGGATATCCCCCATATACGGGTACCCCCCAATTTTCGGTATTTTGGGGTTCTTGAGCGCGTTTTTCTACCGAATACGCTGAAATTTGGTACATTGAGTTCTTAATAGTTTCCAAATCTCTCCACAAAATATTATGAATATAGGTCCATTTTTTCGGATAGCCCCCATATAAGGATACCCCCAATTTTCGGTATTTTGCGGTTCTTGAGCGCGTTTTTCAACCGAATTTGCTGCAATTTGGTATTTTGTAGTCGTATATTTTTGGGGTAGTCCCCATATAACCCCCTTTTTTATATTAAAATAGTTATCTGATTTGTTGCGCGTTTTGGGTTTGGTTCTAAGACCCTTTTGTAATCATTTCAACTGCGGAGGATAGAGAGATAAAAAATTAGAACGTAAGGTTCGGTAGTGAACTATAGCCGCATTTAGACCTAGCCCCTGATTGGAGGTTCCAGAAGGAGTGGACCGATATTCCCCATCTTCGAATTTGAACTAAGCTTGGAAGAAATAATAAGATGGGCAAAGTTCGGATGAAATCTAAATTTTCTGAAACGGATTTGGTCCAAAGAAACATGGGGTCTAGTACCAATATTTCGATGAGGCACATTTTCATCGTGTTAAAGTGTATACACCCTCATTAGCCATAAGGCTAAGGCTTCGAAAATCCGTTTTTTAGAAATGTCGGTATAGGTCCACATCTTGGTATGTTTCCTTTATTTTCATTTATAGTACCTGTCAATATAACTATGGTGGAGGGTATCCAAAGTTCGGCCCGGCCGAACTTACCGCTTTTTCACTTGTTTTCAATAAGAATATGAAATATTTGAACACATTTTATAATTTCTGTATTTTATTTGGCAATTTTCTTTAATTCGCTAAGAGAAATGGATTCGACGTATTTGGGTAATACGGCCGTACAAAACATTTTGCCATAGTGGGGAAGTTGAATATTTTTGTATGCTTCGTTGAATTTTAGGTAACGTTGTAAAGTTGAAATTTTTCAACATTGACAATGCGTATTTTGGATTTTTTGTTTTTTGAAAATAGTTTTTCAGTCATTGAAAAATTTGCGTTTCTATAAAAGTAAACATTTTTCAAACAATAAAAAAATGCTTTCATCCATTTTTGCCGTTTTCAATTGACATAAAAGCAAATAAAGTCCTTGCGTATTTGGGTAATACGGACGTCCAACAAACATTATAAAGGAGAGAAGTTGAGTATTTTTGTACGGAGCACAATGAATTAGGTACGACCATGGTACAATAGTACAAGGTAGGGCAGCTTGAGGTGAATAACAAAAAAGCAACTATGCACGTGTGGCCTCTTTTGCCAAAAATAAAATAAATATACGCAACAAGTGTTTGTGTTTATTTGACATTTTTTCAACACAAAACTAAAAACGCGAAAAATGAATGAAGAATTATGATTTCTTCCCAAAATCTAGTAGGGAATACCACAAAATGTTTCTTTCATCCGTAACAAAGTAATTACTTCCAGACGAACGTTTAAAAACATAATTTTCATTTCAATTAAAATTGAATATATTTCAATTTATTTGACATTGTATTCAAAACAATACACACACATACACAAAATATGTATTTTGATTTGATGGAACAAGCCACCTTGAGAAAAAATGTAATCAGTTGGTAGCTGTGCCCTACCTTGTAATAATTATACCATGGTACGACCCTAATACCATAGACAGACGACAGCCTTAATTTGCATTAAAAAGTTCTTAATTTGAATTGAAATTTACCCCTGACAGACGAGAGTTTCTGCATTTATGAACCAGTTTTTTGTTTCAAAACTATTGTTTGTCTGTGTATAGGAAGAAAATATTTCTTTACAATATTTTTTAGGATTACATCTTTTTGAAATTGATTCATGGCAGGAAGGAAAACTAACAGCTATAATGAAGATAAAACAGCTCCAAATTTGAAAAAATGTTGAATTTTGCCTTTATTTTTAATTTTTATTTTCGTAAACGTAAACAAATTTGACAACATTGCCATATTGAAATTGCTTAATTCAGTATAAATTCAGTTTGATTTTGTGCATTAACAACACATAAAAATGAGGATAATGTACAAGTTCATTTGAATTAAGGCTGTTAATGCAAATTAAGGCTGTCGTCTGTCTAGGCTATAAGACAAAAAATGCAGTATATTTTTTGAGTTTGAAGTTGAATGTGTACGAATTATTTTTCTGACAAGTGTATGTAATTCGATAGATTTCATGTCAAAGTTGCACCATAGCATGTCTTTCCAATAACAGAATGTTTGGCACATGCAACCAATTCTGTTCCAACAAGTTAAGATAGAGAAATCGCTTCAATATATAATTTATTATGGGTTGTAATATAAATCGTACGAGCACCCCTTCATATATCCGATAGACCTCTCGTAACTGTTTCAAGGATACAATATTTATATTTAAATATACAAATAACTAATATCAACATTACTTGTATTATAATGGAAACAAATATGTGTACATTATTTTATATATATATATATATATTTTTTTTTTTTGAGAATGTATTTAAATAAAAAAACAACGAAACTAATTTGTATGAACAGTAAATGATAATAACAACAACTACTAGCCTCCAGAATGATCCATGGTTCCACCAAAAACCATTACTTGTCTGTTCTATATCTCAGAGTAGGTCCCCATATTTCAGGCAATTCAACTTTAAAACTTTGGCCGTCATGTACTGCCCATATGGATCCATTTGGACCATTTTCAATAATTGTCATTAGGTTTTCCGCCAATGCATCGGACGTTTGTTCAATCACGTTCTCATGCATGTTCACATCCTGTGGGCGGAACTTTATCGAGAATGACTTCTTCTCCACAATCATATTCATTGGTGATTTGGTTACGCCTGGGCAAACGGTGATGAAACTTACGCCGGTTTTATTGAAGTACATGGGTTGCTAAAATATACAAAAGAACACATAAATTATTGGCACAAAGCGATATATGTATGTCCATCTTACCGCCAGAGCTGTGGTGAAATGAATTACACCACTCTTTGTTGCACCATAGAAGCAGCAAAAATCGGTGGGATTCAAACCAACTGTGGACGACATATTAACAATGCAACCGCCGTTGCCACCATTTGCCTTACTCATGTAGTCCATGTTGCACCATAGAAGCAGCAAAAATCGGTGGGATTCAAACCAACTGTGGACGACATATTAACAATGCAACCGCCGTTGCCACCATTTGCCTTACTCATGTAGTCCATGGCTATAGCTGAGCTTTGCATTGGACCAGCCTATGTGAAAGAAGATGAATAACTACTTATTATACCAGCACGTGATTTTGAATTCGAAAAAATTGAAATACCAAATTAATTTGCACCAATAGGTCGATTTGATCTTCCACAGCAACGCCAGATCCATTTACCACGATATCGAATGAACCGATTAAATCCTTGGCCTTCTTAAACGCGTCTTTGATGGTCTCACTTTTTGCCAGATCCAAATGGATGTAATCAATGAATGAGTTTTTGTAGGTATTTTGTAAATATTTCAGAAACTCGTCGTTCGACATTAAATCGAAAATGAGGAGACTTTTTACGGACTTTTTCAAAAAGGCCTCGACGCAGCTTTTGCCAATACCTCCGTATCCGCCAACGTAAATAACATTTTTTCCTTTCAATTCCATTTCGATGTAGTTTAGATTGACGCGATTCCTTGTTGAACCGTCTACATTGGATGTCGGTGTAAAAATGAGTATCTAAAGATTCGAGGTTTTCTTTTAAACATTTCTGTTGATAATAACTATGTGTGTATGTATGTACGTCATCGACATGCGTTATCACGCGTCCCTTCTAGATTCGGTTCCAAAAACGCAAGTCATGCTTTGTGGGAGTTAATTGTAAATATGTAGTTTAAATTGGGATACAATTGGATGGTGCAGAGATTCCAATTCGGCGCTCGTAGTGGTCCGGGAATATGCTAAGAAGCACTACACCATTGACATATGATGTGTTTTTGTCAGTGACGACAATAATAAATGAGGTGATAATTACAGTAATGTGTCACAATCGTGTTCTTTGCGTTGGTTCAGTTCCCAGCCGGGCTCATGTTGTTTATTTATTTATTTTTTGAAAATCATCACATTTTACTGTCTTGGTTTGTCTGATCTTTTTTTGTTTTTGTTTTGCTTTCTAGCTGAACTGTGTGATCGGATTTTTTTTTTTTTTTTTTTTTTTGAGGAAACAGAGCAGTTTATGCTGTTTCGTTGAAATTTATTTCTGTTTCGCGTTCTACACGTACATACAACATAAAATCATAAACCAATGAATAACAGATTCGGCCGCCTTCTTCTCTTATCTAGCATTTATTTCTCTGTTATTTACTTTTCCAACATTTATTCTCAATCAAAAATAAACTTATTTAATAATAAGTTTTTTATTCTTTTCATCGTATATAGAGATAATAAACTACACTGTGCAGCGCATTTCTCGGTGCATGTGATACTATTTTCTTGGGAACCCAGTGGTTATTCGGTTATTGGAACCAAATAAAAAATTAACGAAAAGATCCAGCTCACAAAAAGGACACAATTTAAAAAGTATAGTACGCACACGGGCTTAAAATAAAATTTTACAAAATGGCGATTTGTTTAGCCTTCGCTTAACTAAAACGTGTTTCAATTATCAAACGAATAACCTATGAAGTCTTAGCGGGCCTACACAAATTATCAACTTATTGAAGCTGAACTCGTTTTTATACCCTCAGCCTTATGGCTAATGAGGGTACGTACACTCTGGCTGGTGCGCACGATTAGGTAGGAAGATGGGACCTATTGGTTCACTCCTTCTGGTATCTCCCCCACAGAGGGTCAAGTTTTCAATATTTATAAATCCAATATCGAGCGAATAGAATGTCCGATTTGAACAAAACTTTGCACAACCTATTACCTTTACCAAGCCTAGATTAAGTTTGAAGACGGGACCCATTGGACCACTCCATCTGGTACCTCCACCACAAAATTGTGCTAAAATCATCGGAATATCCGATTGTAACAAAACTTGCTACAACATTTTATCTTTACCAAGCCTAGATCAAGTAGGAAGATGGGACCCATTGTTCCACTAATTCTGGTGCCTCCCTCACAGAGGGTCATAATTTTCAATATTTATAAATCCAATATCGGGCGAATAGAATGTCCGATTTGAACCAAGCTTTGCACAACCTATTATCTTTACCAAGCCTATATCAAGTTTGAAGATGGGATCCGTCAGCCCACTCTTCTGGTGCATCCTGCACAAATGGTCAACATCCTCCGTGAACCATAGGGTGAGGGTATGTATCTGTCGGCAACATCGACTTACACTTTTTTAATTATTTTAAAGATTTTTAGACTACGCATGATATATGCTCCTATACCTTCCACACTAAATAGAAAATGGACTAGACTTTTATAAAAACAATTTTATAAAATGCAAATGATAATGGAACAATATATAAAATTATACATATACCCAATTTGTATGCATTTAATTTGCATATGGCTATATACAGTGGGGATCAAAACATATAGTAATCTCTTTCTTTGAGGTCGACTGTTAATTCGTCGGCAACCAAATATGAAAATGTAGTCTACTAGTCATAACAAAAAAAGCTCGCATGCGAAATACGTACTTAGTACGAATGCTACGAACTACAAAAGCTAGCCGTTTGCTGATTTAGTCATAATGTCAGAATTTTTTAGCAGTAGTTATTTAAAGCTAATGCTAATATTTTTTGATGCTGCATTTTAAACCCTGTGTGCAAATTATGAATGACACTAAACGTAGCATTTTTACTAAACTGATAATGCATTTTTAATTCATGCACCTACTAAATACAATTGCCCAACAAAATCTACCGAACATCCAGACTTATATTAACCTATTTCGCGTCACCGTCCTTTTAAAGGAACACCCACAACTGACCTTACCACTGCAAGAAAATTACCACTATTTCAGTGAATTTCCCTACATGATTTTATTGATGTATCTTCTTCTGAACACTCCTACCATCGACATTTTATTCAAAAATAATTGATTTGTAATAAAGTTTTACAACTAAATATTCGATTTTGAAGAACAACTCTCAGCCGTTATTTGCAAAACGAAAAGCATCAGACATTCATTGCTGGTCGCCATAAAACTTCCAACTGCATTTCTTTGACTTGGCCTAAATCCAGCATCCACACCGATCCATTTTTAGCTATCTCCAGAATATTAACTAAGTTCTCAGCACATACTTCTGGACTTTGTCGCACAGCCAGAGTAAAGCGTTCTGCCATCGGTGCTGAATATTCAGTCAGTGTCTCCTTACCTCGTATAGACTGCAAGAGTGCAGTATCTGTGAAGCCGGGGCAAATAGTCACAAAACTAACGCCGGTATTGGCAAAATATAAAGGGTTCTGGAAATTAAAAAAAATTATTACTACATATATTGGAAAGTATATCGAACAGAGCACTTGCCGCTATAGCCCTCGTAAAAGCCGTCAAGCCACACTTCGATGCCGAGTATACGGCGAACATACCACTGGGCTCTAGTCCAGCTACCGATGAAATATTGACAATCATACCACCATTGCCGCCCTTTGATTTGTCCATGTAATCCAAGGCAATTAACGAACTATGAATTACTCCTGTCTGGAATAGGTCATTTGTATGTGTGTGTTTAAAGTATGTAAGTAGAATTTTTACCATAACATAAACATATTCGAAACGAAGTACCAATTTCATGCATAAAATATGGAATTTTTACTAACTATTTGCATTTTTCTATTTTGAAACACCCGATAATTTTAACTTTTTCCTCCTGTCCTTAAGTATCAAATAATCGAGAATCGCATGCATATATTTTTGTTTAATAGCATACTTATAATTTGCACAACCAACTTATTTCAACTCCGAACTCACCAAATTAATAGCCATTGTCAAGTCTACGAAACGATCGTTCATCAAACCACAACCGTTGACGACCACATCAATTCGATTGAGGGTTTCGGCGGCCAATTGAAATGCTTTCTCGATAGTTGCCCTTTTGGTGATATCAATCGGTACATGGGTTATTTGAGTTTCCCGAAATTCCTGGGCAAGGTTTGTGCGAAATTCCTGATTGTCGTAAATATCGCATATTACCAAATGCTGAATGTCGAAAAATTAAAAAAAAAATCAAGACGAAACAACAAACTTGAACGTAAATATAAGTACCTTGATTTCTTTTCGCAAAAAAGCTTGCAAACACTTTTGGCCAATGCCTCCATACCCCCCAATGTAGACCACATGTTTACCTTTCAACTCCATTGCGTACAGCCCTGTGCGATCTCCGAAACTTCGATTAGAATACAGATTGACTTAACCGAACTATTGTTGCCGTTACTAGTGAATGGTGATATTGACCGAAACCTATAAAACTCGATCTTATGTCTGGTGCGGTTGAGATGCAAGTGCACTTTGTATTTTTCATTGGCCAATCAATTTTTGGCTGTAATAATAGTTCGTTAGATTGCGCACACACACGCAGACCAACTTACTGTATTGCATGTAGCAGCAAAATGTTACTATTTCGATACTGTTTTGGGTTTGCTTGCCTGCACTTTGCTTTTGGCATCTGTAGGTAAGTTAATACCGGTTTGGATTTTGTGGCCAGAAAATTGATAATCGTGAATGCGGTTATAATTCGACATGGTATTTTTGTTGCTGCTTCATGCATTCTTAAAACACACACTCACTCACAATCAAATTACGTTAAAAACCAGTGTTTTTTTATGAAATTCTCAAAAACTATTTTTCGTGCTTTGATTAGCTGTTGTTAAGTATGCGTCAAAAGTCATTATTTCCGTTCCAGAACATAAAAGAATCTACTAATTTTACAAGATTTGCAACTTTTTACTCAAAACCCGTTCCAAATGGGGTTCTCTTTGTAAACTTTTTACCCAAAAAATTGTTGTTGATTTTGAAGTATTGTCATCTAATATTGGAATATTTACTAGATTTGCGTTCCCGAAGTTTTCAAATTATTTTGCACTTTCAGAACGATTTTGAAATGCTTCCCTTTAACTAGCTTTACTATTAAAAAAAGTACTGGAACATACCATTGATAATAAAGAAGTTACGCGAACCTGAGATATATTATAAACAATAATAAATAAACAATATTTAAATATATATAAATATATATAAACAATAATAAATATAAAAATATTTCAATATGAAACATTGAGTAATTCAGTGTAATGAGTTTTTTGGGTTCGTCAATTTTTAACTTAATACGCGTTTTAATATAAATAGGGTATGTTCCCTTACTCAAAAAGTGGTAAAGCTTTCCGATTGTAAAAAGAGAAAATCGAAAACATAAAAGTGTTATCCATATTACTGTTATTTGATAGTTAAGTTCACCAAAGTCATATTATATTTTTATTAAAACTCAAATGATGGACCATCCGATTCAATATATGTATATGTATTATAGAAAAAGTATATAAACTATTTCGAAGACCAATTTCAATAAAAGTATATAGAAAATAAATTAATTTCTAAAATACATTTTTGTGTTACAACCGTTATTTCTAATTAAATATTAGTTCAAGCATTTATGTTCAAAAATGGTCTCACTGCGATATTTATCGATTAAAGCAATTTAATAAAGTTTATTTTTACATTTTTAATATTTTCAATGCAAACTAAGCTTGAATTACATTCACATACATTACAAAACACTCACATACTGCACATTTCATATTACCAAAACATGATAAATTATTTCTGCTGTGGCTCCCAAAGGGTTGGTATTTCCACTTCTGACAAATTTCCAACATCCAACAGCCAAACGGAACCTATTTTATTTTTTTCGATTGCTTTAATTATATTCTCGGCACATACATTGGCGGGCTGAGTTTGGATTTTGAGGAATCTCTCGGCCATTGGTTGAGCATATTCCAATAGTGTAGCTTTGTCCTTAACATTATCTAGCAGGGCAGTTTCCGTTAGGCCCGGACAGATAGTAATGAAGTTCACACCAGTATGCATGTAATACAGGGGATTCTTGAAAGAAAATCGAACGTAAGTATATATGGCAATTTCTAAAATCTGTAGTGAGATTATGTAATCATGTAACAACAAAAATACTTACTGCAAGAATCTACTATTTTTTACTACGATAACACTTTTTTCCTTTATGATATCGGAAAAAATAGTAAACAAATAGTAAAATGGAATTTCGATAGTTAGCATTGATTTTCGACAAATCATTTTTCTTCGACTGTTGTTGTAATGGATTACTGATGCGGCTACTTTGTAAATTTTACCTCGATCTTGGAGCCAAATTTATTTTTAGTAAATAAATAATGTTGTAAAGTTGGATCAAAAGCCGAAATAGATTGTATAAGGAAGTCGCATCAGCAATCAATTACAAAAACTGTTGTAGAACAATGATTTGTTGAAAATACCCAGTAGTTCGAGTAACTGGTGATGAACTAGATATTTTACTAATTACCTGTAAGTACCACTAGTTACCACTTCATGCCCTAGACTGGTGAATTTAACATGTGTATGTCATTGGGGAAGTCAATTGTCCCCTGCCTGCGTTACCAGTATACAGTCATTTCGATAGTAGTAGTAGTAGTTCGAGTAACTGGTGATGAACTAGATATTTTACTAATTACCTGTAAGTACCACTAGTTACCACTTCATGCCCTAGACTGGTGAATTTAACATGTGTATGTCATTGGGGAAGTCAATTGTCCCCTGCCTGCGTTACCAGTATACAGTCATTTCGATAGTCGATTCATTACCCTTTGCATTACCAGTAACTACTGAATTGGTATGATGTGTGTAAACAACTTTTTCAGTTGACAAAAAAATCCAACAGTCTATTTTGTGTTCCTTTTTGGGGTATGAAGTAACTAGATCACCAAGTAACTAGCTATATAACTATATAATAGCAGACAATTGATATTTTTTGTACAACTGGGTATCTTGAAAAAAAAAAACCATCGAACAGTATTGTATGATGTCTTCTACACAAATGCATTTAGAAAAATATAATATAAATTATATGTAATATAAATGCATTGGCAAACACATTTTTTCATTTACAATTCTGTTTTTATTCAAGGCCTATATACATATATAGGCCTTGTTTTTATTATTATTATTATTTTATTTTTTTTTTTTTAATTACGACAGCTAATTATATTAACAACAGCAAAAATTTTGCTTTCAATATAAACATTTTAAGTTTCAATTGTATCAATTTGTTGTCAGTAATGACAAAGGATTTCAAATACCAAATATTATTACTTACCGACATTGCTCTGCTGAACGCCGTAACACCATGTTTGGCAGCTGAATATATGGCAAACATTCCTGTAGTCTGTAATCCCGCCACTGAAGAAATATTTGTAATTACACCGCCGCGTCCACCTTTTGACTTATCCATGTAACCCAGAGCAATCATACAGCTGTGCAAAACACCCCGCTAAATTTAAAACCAATGTATATAAATTTCATTAAATATCAAAAAATGAATGCAAATTTACAGAAATCTTTCCACGTAAAAAGCTTCTCCGTTCAAATCCACATGCATTAAAATAGAGTACAGCCATTTAACTTATTTTAAATCATTGGTTACATGTATGTGTCAATAAAACTTAACATAGATTTTACTATTAATTCTACAAAAAAACTATACTAAAAAAAAAAACACAAGCAACAAACATCTAAAAGGTGATCCTAATTAAAAAACAACGATTTGTAATAGTATGGTAAGATAACGCTTCAATGCTTCATTTTAATAAAAACTGCTCTGTGATAAAGATTCATTTTTTATAGCTCAATTGTTCTATTTCTATTTTTCACTTATTTGACTATTTCTTATACCTGCATATCAGCGAGCGATATTACTGCGCACCCTGCTACATATGACGAGCTTATCAACGCATTTGCAATTGGAATTGAGTACATGGCCAACATACACCAAAGTGGCAATATATGCACAGTTGTTTTTGTACTTGAAATTGAAAAAGGTCAAAATAACCGCCTTCGGCAATCTAGTGTTAAACATTCCCAGAAGGGAGATTAAGTATATTGAATACGGGATGACATTTAATAAAGAACAATTTCGAATTTTATGCGTACCCAATTTTCCTGTTGGGTTATTTTTAAAAACATAACCAATGCCTATATAAGGCCAGCCAGTAAGCGAATTCATAGAGAAAACTTAAGTTTGATGTAAATTTTTTTTGCCGAGGCGAAAACTAATTGTTTCGCCTTTAATAAAAACACAACCAAAACGATTTATAATTTTGTAAGATAATTTACTTGAATATGTTTATTTTATTATGATCTTATCTAATCTTAGGTAACCCTAATAAATATATATGTACATAGCATAATTAAATGCAACATACCAGATTTATATCGATTGTCAGGTCCAAATGTCGATCGTTCATGAGTCCACATCCATTTACAACAACATCAATAAAATCCAACATGTCATTGGCTTTTTTATAAGCCGCTTCAATGGTCTCAGTTTTAGTTACATCAACAGTCGCGAAACTTATTTGGCACTCCTTATACGCGTCTTGCCATGTTCTCATCACGTCGGCATTCTCTTTCAAATCGAAGATAAAAAGACCTTTGATGCCTTTCTTTAGAAATTCTTCTATGCACTTTTGGCCAATTCCACCAAATCCTCCAATATAGATTACGTTTTTATCTTTCAGATCCATTTTTAGAGTTTGTTTCAGAAAGCAAAATATGAAAACCACTCTTGTTTATTTAACTGAATTGAATTTGACCTCACTTCGACAAATGAATAAAACACATTGGCTGAACACTCTTTTATGCGTGCTCTGCAGTTCCGATAACAATTGATAAGAATTGTTTACTCCGCTAGTATAAGAGTAAACAAAAATACACTTAGAAAAGTGTTCGGATTTTTAACGGATTGCGTTCCTTTATTTAAACACTAAATTACTATGAATTAATTAATATTATGAATTAATTAATATTTCCATGACATTAAAAAAACTAAAAATTCACTTCAAAAGAATAGACATCGAACAAATCTCCAAAAATCAAGTTTTGTTATCAAAGATATGTGAATCTACCAGAACTGGGAATCTACCATGGTATAATTATTACAAGGTAGGGCACAGCTACCAACTGATTACAATTTTTTCTCAAGGTGGCTTGTTCCATCAAATCAAAATACATATTTTGTGTATGTGTGTGTATTGTTTTGAATACAATGTCAAATAAATTGAAATATATTCAATTTTAATTGAAATGAAAATTATGTTTTTAAACGTTCGTCTGGAAGTAATTACTTTGTTATGGATGAAAGAAACATTTTGTGGTATTCCCTACTGGATTTTGGGAAGAAATCATAATCCTTCATTCATTTTTCGCGTTTTTAGTTTTGTGTTGAAAAAATGTCAAATAAACACAAACACTTGTTGCGTACGTTTATTTTACTTTTGGCAGAAGAGGCCACACGTGCATAAATGTTTTTTTGTTATTCACCTCAAGCTGCCCTACCTTGTATTATTGTACCATGGAATCTACCAGGTCCCAATCTTAAAATAAAAACTATTTTTTTTTCTTATCTTTTATTTTTCACTGCAGGTTTTTGTGATTTGTATATGCTCGGATTTCCCTATGATGACAATCGATAACGATCTAAAAATAAGTTGAAACTGTGACAGGCCAGCCTATAACGATTATATTATATCCTTTGGAATTATCCTGTTCTTTCAATCATTAAATTCTACAAGGAAGGATTGCATAGAAACCAAATAAGTCGGTTAATTGTTAAGAAAATTATTTATTAAATATATTCTTTATGTGTATATCATTTTTACAAAGAGTACTTGATAAAAATAAAGAACGAATTTATTAAAAATATTGCTTGGTTTTTATTTACGAATTAAAAATACGGTAAGTATACATACTCCTACGCGTGCGACATATATTTATGTGATGACGTCACAATTTTTTTTCACCTACCTGGTTTTGTGGATTTTTGGGCAATTTCACAAAAATACCAGGCGTCCAGAATAAAATAGAAAGTAGCTCACAAAAAACTGTAGAAAAATTACATCTGGCAACTCCGTACTAAGAAATTACAAAATGTATAACATACTTTTAGGCGTTCGATTTTTTCGCCGGTAGGGTGTTGACAATGACAATTTTCCGATTCTTTTTATTTTTAGCGTACAACATGCTATTTTATTCTGGGCGCCTGATTTTTTTGTGAAATTGTCAAAAAATTCACACAACCAGGAGAATGAAAGATGTTGAGTGCCTTTTAGGTATTTTTTAAATCGTGGGGAGCCAGGATAGACGTATGACGTTACTGTTTAACAATGAAATATAAAGAGCTCATATTACAAACAGACTAATATTGAGAACCCCCATTAATATGCCTTTTAGAAATCCATAAATAAATAAAAACATGTTTTGTATTTGTTTGTAAAACTATTTGTTTGTTTGTTTTATTTCAATAAACATCAATTAAGCGCATAAAGAGAAAAAATTAACTACATACACTAATAATTTAATAGTTCTTTATGCTCCTTCTTTCTTTAAAAATCCACTACTACTGCTCTAGGAATCTTTAAATATGCTTAAACAAGTAAAAAAGTTTATTTTTATAATGCGTTTTTTAAAGATATATGTTTTTTTACAAAGAGTTGTCCATCTGTGAAGAGGTACCAGAAGAGGTTGGTGTATAGACCCATTCTTCGGATTCAATGTAGGTTTGGTAAAATATTACGATGTGCAAACGACGAATTAAATCGTTTTATTCAATTCGTTTCAAATTAAATTAACATATTTGTAAACCAGAAGGAGTGGACCGATGGATCCCATCTTCGAACTTGATATAAGTTTGAAAATATATAAACCTGTCGTCAATAACATCTATTGATGAGCATGATTCAAAGTATGTAAATCAGTTTTTTTAAGTCCGAGCTTCCAAGCGTACAACTTTTGAACTGATAATCCCATGTACACAAAAATGGTCTTATAACAAATGATACCGGGGAATATTATAGAAATTGTTAATACTACATTTCAAATTAAAAAAATAAATACAATTATTGAAATGTGCCCCTTTTATGACACCAATATTTAAATATCTTCTGTAGGTCAAAAGTTATTGAAAAGCAAGTTTATATCCGACAGTATCAAAGATTGTTTGACAGAGTTAGCCATGTTAACAGAAAATAAGTCACCAACGAAATTCTCAACGAGATTATATCTTTGGTATCGTAAATACTTCAATTTATTACAAGTGACATTTGGATATAAAAGGTAGCGTCTGGAAGAATATCCTTAAAGAAAAACTAAGGGAACTGATGAGGATCAGTGGCGAAATCTGAAACTATAGTCTTCGCTGGCTTACACATTGGTGGACAATGCAATACTTTCCCCATTAATATATAATTATTTTTATAAAGTCAAAAAACTGAAATTACGCATGACTATTTTGCAATAACAATATTTATGTTATTTTATTATTTTCCTCATATCATTTTATTATGATTATATCAATTTCATAGATGTCCACTCATTCTGAAAATATTTCTACATGACTTTTATTTATTTATTTTTTTTTTTTTTTTGTAAACCCTTACATTTTCCAATGAACAGGTGGTACAACTTCTTTAACTCCACCCATACTGCAAATGTACATGCCTGCATTTTTCCCTTGCTCCATTGCATTTACCATGTTTACTGCACAATCTTCAGGAGTTTGCATTTTAGCATCCACAACAGTATTCCAAATGGTGTCCGTATGCGGCACCCATTTCATCCAGTTCATGTCACGCTTATTCATCATTAATTCCGTTGAAGTCATACCAGGACAAATGCAGATAAAAGCCACGCCTGTCTTGGAGTATAAATGTTCGTCCTATAAAGTAATACAAAACAATACACATACATGTGTTGGATCATGTTCAAGCGGAACGACGGAATCATCATTACGTACAGCCATTGATTTAGTAAATCCGACCACTCCATGCTTCGCGGCTGAGTAAACACTAAAAGCTGGTCCGGGCTCTAGTCCATAAACCGAAGCAATATTCACTACCATACCACCTCGGCCATGTTGAGTTTTATCCATCCAAGGCATCATCATGAGTGTCGTATTGATCAAGCCAGTCTTTGAAATAAATTTTGGAGGTTCGATTTATTATTAAAATTACATAAATTATGAGAAATAATTTTAATGCAGTGCAAGGTAAATCCGTTCTTAATGTTGATCAATTTTTATTAGCTTCTGATGATGGAAAGTTGATACAAACCATTTTTATGTCTGACAGTCGAAGACTTGAAAATGATCCGTATATCTTTACTCAATAATTTGCACAAATTATTACTGTATGTTGTTCTTTAATGCAATAATCCAATAAAAGAGAGTTAATTGTGAGAGCAGTCAAGTGTTGCTGAGAATTTGAAAATTTTTTCAGTGATAATTTATCCAGTAAAGATATATATATATATATATATATCAAAATTGTTCACACAGTACATCATAAAACGGGAACTGACCTTTTGTGGGCAAAACTTGTAAAATTAGTAGAGATTCATGTAGGTTAAGAAACGGAACTTTAGTAATTTGTACTGGAAAAGTAAACGAACACACTCAATGGAAATAAATGGTTTGCTATACTATTATCGAGATTTGATGATTTGTGATATTTGTTGCTCTACTGCAAACGTACCAAATTAACGTTAATTGTCGTCTCAACGTCCTTGTCAGCCAAAACACCAACTCCATTGATTAGAACATCAACATGTCCAACTATTGGGGCAATGCTATTGACAGCATGTTGGATGCTTGAATTATCCGTAAGATTCATTTGGACGAAAGAAACCCGTATGTCTGTATTTATGGCTTGAAGTTTCTTCAGCATTTCCACATTTTCCATGCGACTGCAAACAACCATATTCTACAAGACATTTTAGTGGCTGGCAAATGTTTAATAATTATACCACACTACCTTCAATGGTTTCCGCATTAAAATTTGGCACACTTGAAAGCCAATGCCACTGAAGGCACCAACATATACAACACTCTTACCAGACCAATCGAACATTTGGAATTTTCTTCGAGAACTGAATTTTTTACAATAAAATTCAGTCTATTTATATCCTCAATGAAATCCGATGTATATACCATTCTTGATAATGATGATGCATTGTGTGATGAACACTGACCCGTATTGGTATCTCAGTTCAGTTTTGAATGTATGTACCTTCGGTTATATGGTTTATTCTGTTAACAGTGGACAGGTGTTGATAAGAGTACCTAATGTATTATTGATGATCATTGAAATACATATGTACGTATAGAAACAAAATTTAAACATTATGTATTCGCAGTATCTGTTTTCACAATTTGTGATTTTATATTGTAATTAGTATTGTAGTCAAAATGTGAAGCTACAGATTTCTCGCATGTTAAAATTTGTTCGCTTTCACATTCTCGCCTTATTCTGAATGAATAGGGGGGAGAAGCAAAAAGCGAGATGCGGATTCAAATTTTCGAGAATGGTGGTTGAGAAAAGATTCGTGTTGCCATATTGCAATGTAAGTTGTAATGTTTGTAATTTGATTTTGTAATATTTTTCATTAATTTACTCCTTGATTTTTTTAAACAAAAAATGTTTCTTTTTATTGTTATTTAAAGTTTATAACAATATAAATGTGAAATATTAGAAATCCGCTGTAAAACTGTTATGTAATTAAAAGATAATAAATTAAAGTTTGAAAATGTGGCAACATACAATATGGCATGTAAAACAGCTGTTTATTGTTTTTATGCAATTTGGCGCAACAACAAAACAGATTACAAATAAAAAAAATTGTTTATGATGGCAAAAACATTAGATTAATTCGCAGTTTATTATTTCACTACATAAATGTGTGCCGGTTCACAAATCATATTCAGCGGCTCATCGGGCAATTTTAACTATGTGCTTTTTCCATAATTTTATTTATTTTTTTAAGGGACAGATCCTCGCCCAAAATGTCTTTACTTTATTTGTTGTTTTCGATTTAAAAAATTGCATACAATCATTTATAATATTCTAAATCGTCATAGAACAAGTATTGTGTAGATACTTTCATAAAAATATTTATTACTTATGTTTTTGTAGACAGCTCCCTTTAAATTTATTGACGAAAACTTTCGCACAGAATTTCATCACATTCTCCCACTCCCAGTAATCCAGAACAACCATTTATAATATTCAAATTAGTCACAGAATAACTATTGTGGAGATATTTTTCATACAAATATTTATTACTTAAATAACTAATTTTTCCCCAAAGCGGATATTTTCGCTTCATTCAGAATAAGGCGAAAGCGAAAATGCGAAAAAATTCCCTGTGAAATGTTGTTCAGAATAAGTCGAAAGGGAAGAGCGAGTGAATTCACGTGGAATTGACATCCAGAATAAGGTTGAATATCTGATAGACCATGCTTTGTTACAAAAATGAGTTGTATTTCATTTCATCTGCTCTTTTTGAGTTAAAAATATACATAAACCCATTTATTACAGTGGTATATATATAATATTCATCATAGCATAACTGGCCACTTTAAGAATTTGAGGAGATGAAATATTGAAATAAAAAAGCACACAATTATGTAGTGAAATGAAAAACTGTGAATTAATTTTATCGCAGATTTCTTCCCATTATTCACTGTGTCTTCGATATCATAAAAAATTTCTTTTATTTGTAATCTATTGTAGTTGTTGCACCAAATTGCATCAAAACAATGAACAGCTGTTTCACATGCCACAATTTACAATTTTACAAAGCATTTACAGCGGATTCTTTATATTTCGCATTTGTATTGCTGCTATGTGTCGATTGAAAACGGCGAAAATTGATGAAAACATTTTCTTAATTAATCGAAAAATGTTTACAGTTATAGAAAAACAAATTTTTCAATGACTTGAATTCTATTTTCAAAAAAACAAAAAATCCAAAATACGCAATGTCAATGTTGAAAATTTTCAACTTTATATTTTTACAGCCTTACCTAAAATTCAACTAGCTCGTTCGACGTTTTTCACAAAAGCAGAACACATGTATTTATATGAATGTTACCGAAATACGTCGAACGTACAAAATTTAAAGTTGAACAATTTCAACTTTGACAGAACGTATTTTTAATTTTTTCTTTTGTTAAAAACAAAAACCAAACATTCTGGAAATTTGAAATTTCGAATGGAAACTAAAAATACGTGGATTAATTTAATAAATTTTCAATTTTGTTTTGCGGTTTGTATTATTTGCTTGAAGATATGGATTCGAAGTATTTGGGTAATACGGCCATACACAACATTTAGCCATAGTGGGGAAGTTGAATAACTGTGTACGCCCCGTCGGATTTTAGGTAACGTTGTTATACGCAATGCGTATTTGGGTAACATTAATTGAAATACATGTATTTAACTTTTGAGGTGAATAAAATCGTACGCATACGCATGAATTTAGGTACGACCCTAACATTATGAATGTGTGTGTGTGTGTGTTCGAAGGCGGTCCTCAGTTCCTTAAGGCCGCAGGAATTGGCGATCCGTGAATACACGTGGCCAGGTTTTCTTCCAAAAAGATAATATCCAAAAACGATCGTACACTGGGTACAAAAGACTTCTCACAAAAGCAGTTTAATAGTAGTTCACAGTCCAAATGTAGAATCAACGAAGGCAAAAAACAGCTGATGAAACCACAAAAAGAACGATAGTACACAGTACTTTAGTAGTAGAAATGCATGAAACAGAGCAATCAAGGATTTTAAGTAGATTGACTTAATCCGACTTACGACCTCCCGGTTGAGAGATGTCCAAGTGCATAAGGTGTATGTAGTGACGAAACTGCAACCAGCAGTGAAAGAATTTCCGGAACTAAACAAGCTTCCAGGTTAACATTATGAATATCAACTTTTCTCTGTTGCCGTCGATAATACTGTTTTGACACTTTTTCAACTAGAAATATTGTAAACAAACAAAAAATTGAATAAAATATTTTGGAAAAACTAATTATAAGTGATAAAAAGCTCATTGCGACTATTTTTTGATGATGAAAATTATGTGCAAGGCGTGGCATCTATTAGAATGAAAATGAAAACCAGAAAAATATATATTAAATCGTTGGAAACCAGGTAAAAGAATATTAATGAATGATAAAATTGCCAGTTTCCCTATGCAAACTCAAAACCTGAAATTATATAAAAGAAAGAAAACGTTAAATTCAATTTTACAAAAATTAAAACACAAAAACTATAAAAAGAAAAAATATGTAATTAAACAATAATATATGTTAGTATTAAGTGTGAATGTTAGTAGTTAGTTTAGGATTAAGAATTTAAATGATCATTATATTTTGTGAGGATTTTTAACTTCTTTTTATTAAATTGTGAGGTAGATTACCAAATAGCTACGTGGAGCAATAATTAGAATAATTTTGTGGACGCAATTTAACCGCCCACGTCACCACTAATAGAGCTCTTTTAGGTAGGCGTAGTTGTCTAAAGTAGCCTAAATTGGCAGTGTAACATACCCGATGCAAAGTGTTGGTAATCGACGATACTGATTCACACTGAGAGAAAAGGAGTTATGAGTTCATAAATTGACATGAATTTCATCCTTTATATTTTAGATTAAGTTCCAAAAATGTCAATAAATTATTTTAATGGTTGATTTTATGTATTAGAAATCATGTTGTGTTAAGTCTTCTTTGTGAGAGAGGGAATTAGGTGTAAGTTTTCGTGAGGTAAGTGTGTGTGGAATTTGGGGCCCTTTTAAATATAAAACTTTATTAATTGGACTAAAGGGTCAAGGATGGGCGGGCATAGTGGAGGAGCACTAAACCATGCTCCTTCGTCATAGGTGTATGTTGTGTTTATCTATGTGTTTTGTTTTGTATGATCCAAATTTCTAGTTGTTCGTTCCCTAGGGTTGATGGTGGCAAGGGTTGAGAACTCCCCTGATCGAAAAGCGCTCCTAACTGAGCTAGTGCGAACCCCGCCATAACGCCGCATTAGGTCCTGAACGTAACATCGCTCTTCCCCTTCGACTTATTCTGAACAACATTTCCCTGTGCATTTTTTCGCATTCTCGCTTTCGCCTTATTTTGAATGAAGTTCGAAAGCGAAAAAATCAGCTTTGGGGAAAAATTAGGTATTCTGGATTACAGGGAGTAGGAGAATGAGATGAAATTTTGTGCGATAATTTTCGCTAATAAATTCAAAGGGAGCTGACTACAAAAAACATAAGTAATAAATATTTTTATGAAAAATATTTACACAATACTAATTCTATGACGATTTAGAATATTATAAATGATTGTATGCAATTTTTTAACTGGAAAACAAATAAAATGCCATTGGAAATTCTATTGATAACGATGCATGCTAAACCAAATATTGCCAAGGAATGTATAAAAGTAATAAGGAATATTTAAGTCGAGTTTGATGCATTTTAGAGGCAAAATACAGACCTTTTGGGTGAGGATCTCTTTGTCTCTCAAGAAAAAAATTTTAAAAATTATGGAAAACAAAAATATATATTTTTTTCAAATTATCGTATGCATGATTTGAAGGAAGAAATAAAGGAGTAAGAGCAAATCATAACATAACTGGCCACTTTAAGAATTTGGGGAGATAACATATCGAAATTAAATAAAAAGGCACACAATTATGTAGTGAAATAAAAAACTGTGGATTCATTCAATTATTCGTTGTGTTTTTGCCATCATAAAAATGTTCTTTTATTTGTAATCTATTGTAGTTGTTGCACCAAATTGCATCAAAACAATGAACAGCTGTTTCACATGCCATATTATAGGTTGCCATATTTTCAAACTTTAATTTGTTTTCTTTCAATTACAAAGCATTTATACAGCGGATTATTGATATTTCACAATTGTATTGTTATAAGGTTTAAATAACAATAAAAAGTAAACATTTTTAATAAAAAATCAATAAATAAAATATTGAAAAATATTACACAATTAAATTGCAATGGGGCAACACACAATGCAACTTAAATTACAATATGGCAACACGAATCTTTTTTTAATCACCATTTTCGAAAACTCA